AAGACTTAATTCAAGATTTAAATCCTCCAATTATTTGGTAGGATTGGAAAACATTTTTTGAAAACCCTTTTTTTTATTTAAAAGAAAAAAATCAATTAAAATAAACAAAAATCATCATGCAAATAATACCATGAAATAATAATATAATAATATAATAATAATATAATATATCATGCAATAATAATAAAATAACAATGCAATAATATTAATCATCATGCAATTAAGTATAATCATGCAATTATGCAAAATATATTTAATAGATCATATAAAACAGATATAAAATAATCATGCAATTAAATGTCATGTAATTATGTAAAATATCATGCAATTAAATATATATTAAAATATAAATATAAAAATAATATATATAAAAAACAAAACATAAAAAGCAAACAAATAAAAATCAAAGCAAAAAAAAATCAAAAAAAAAAAGAAAAACCTACACCATGGATTAAGACTGAATGTAGGTCAACACACGAATCAACGGGTCACACGCGAGTTAGTCTCCCTCCAAAATGGTATTGTGTTGCCTTGATATAAGAGACTTTTCAACATTTTTTCTTCGGACTTCAAACTTCTTCTCTTTCTCTTTAAATTTGTTTCCTCTCCTTTCTCTCTAGAAACCCAACCGAAAAACTTAACCTTCTTCAAAAACTGGCCACCAAATCTAGATTCCAGCATTGAGATATTTAATCAACCATCAAAAAGTTTAAACTTTCCTAGAAAAGCCTTTAATTTCCATAATCTGCCTGTCGAGAAATTCTTTGATCACTGTGAAAGCTGCCGAAAAAATTAACCTTTCACCAAAAAATTCAAATATTCAAACTAGAAAACCCAAAAAAAACCCAAATAAACTTAGATTTCAAACCCGAATCTAGAAATTCAAATTAAATCCCAGAAATTCAAGCCAAAACTAAATAAAATCATCAATCCAAAATTAAAATAACTTTCTCAAAGCCCAAGAACTCAAAACACAAACGTTGAAAAATCTTAAAGATCAAAACCCAAAAAAAAAAATTCAAAACCTTAAAAACTCCTAAAAACATAAAACCAAAGATTTAAACCAATCTGAAAATTCAAAATTGACTTCAAAAGCAAAAAAAAAAAAAATTCCCAATCCCAAAAATTGTATGAATTAAAACCCAATTCCAAAAAGTAGAAAAAAAAAAAAAACTCAAAATGAATCATTAAACAAAATCCAGACCCAAAAAATTTTTGTACGCTCCAAGGTTGGAATTTGCTTATTGCCTTCCCTTTCGTATATGCTTTTTGTTTTCACTCTTTATAAGGATTCAATCCCTTTTAATTTTGAAAATAAATCAACTCTGTGATTTTTTTTATTAATATGATTTGATTTGTTTTTCCTTTGACTTTCCATTTTCATTGAAGATTGGGATCCTCAGTACGGGAAATGGGATTTTGGGTTCTTATTTTAGTAATAGATGTTGTCATTATTCCGGCTGTGTTTTGTTGTATTTGGGGATGAGATAAAATGATGACCTGGGGGGTAGTGCTTGCTGCTCTTATGTTTTTTTATTTTTCATCAATTCATGTTAAGTCGAGAGGGGTAAAATGAAAGGGGAAACTAAAAAGCTAGAAATAGATGCACAAAAATGGATGGAGTTGACAAGAGAAGAGAACAAGGCACTCGACCCTTTTGTTTTTGTAATTTTTCAATTTTTAATTAATTTAATTAATTTTAATAAAAATAAAATTGGACTATAAGATGGTTTTGGGTTTACAATTAGATTTTGGGCTTTTTAATTGGATTTTAAAATCTTAATCCGAAAATAACCCAATAATAAAATAGGATTAGATCATAGTCCATGCAAAATATCCAAAAATGATCAACTTGAGACAAAGCCTATTGAAGTTCAATAGATAAATTCAATTAAAGTGTTTAAGTTAGTCCAAATTAAAATACAAAGATCAAGCTTAAAAATTGAATAAATTTGAATTTATTTATATAAAATTAGGTATCTATAATGATGATAATAAAAGTATTTTAATTTATCATTAAAAAAAACTTATACATATATAAATTTATTGATATATGGATATACTTTCATGCATTAAGCGGGTTTAAAACTAATGTAAAATAGATTTAAAAAATAAAGAAAAAAATGAAAAAATATGTAAATTTACTACTGTATATATAAACATGATTTAAATTTATTATTAATCTTTCAACTTATGTAATTTTAGAATAAATTTATCCTTATACTTTTAATTTTAAATCAAATTACAAATCACTTTGACATAGCTTAATGAATACAATCAAATTTTGACGAGAGCTTAAAATATCAAGCAGATCTCACCTAGTTCGAACCGATCCAACTGTGGATACCACTATGCTCTGGTTATAGAGAAATTATACATTTTGCTCCAAGCAAAAATAATCATACAAGGAGGGAAGGGTAACAAAGTCATGTTGACCATTTGTAGTAAACGCTTAATTTTGAAAAGAAATTCTTATTTCATAAAAATAAAAACCATATATATATATTGCTTCATGAGATGACATGGAGCTATATTCTAATCCTGGAAAATAAAGAGAAAAATACAAAGAGGCGGCCTCGGTTGACACCTGATCAGTTGGAAAGAGGGTCCCCCCACCATGGAGAAAAAGACAATGTCTACTTACTTCTTGACCTTGACACCTTAAAAATTGATAATTGTAATATATAAATATTGATAATTATGCATATCGATTTTATATAAAAATTATGTGATTTATTTTTATTTAATAAGAAAATTATGAAATATGTATTTTTTTAATTTTATTAAATATATAGTTTTAATTAAAATTTTAATTAATATTACTTTTATATATTTTCTTATAATTTTCATACCGAATTATATTTTAAATCTGGCATAGCTACCGAAAACACCACGTGATTTGAAGTCTAAGGACACCTGTCCTTTTCTTGGCGCATTTTTCCCTTCCTTGCCTTCGAGTTTGACTGAAGGAAGCAGCCCAACAACTTTCCTAATCCAATTTTAGTACTTTCCTTTGTCTTTTTAGTGCTCTCTCACGCATTCCATGTTTCCAAATTCCATCCCCAAAGACTACGACTCTCGACTACTCCTTTTAAGTCAAGCTTTCCTCTTTTCCTGTTCTTTCTTTCTTGCTCTCATTCAAAGTACACAACATTAATGACTTTCATGGAGAATTTGTTGTAGTACAAATTAGTATTTGTATCATTTAGGTTAAATCCTCATTTTAATTGTTAATTTAGAGTAAATTGCATGACACATTTATGACTTTTGTGTAATATTTTATTTTTATTCATAATTTTTTAAAATTTATTTTTGGGACTCGCGACCTAAATAAATGTTTCAAACTCATTTATTTTGTCAACTATCGTTAAAATATGACAAATTTTTACCTCAACATCATGTGAATGTCCATATGAATAACCATATAGCTAAAAGAAGTGACCGCTTGTTTGATTTTTGGCTTAAAATTTATGTCATGTGGATGTTCGTATGATATTGATGTGGAGATTTTCATAGGAGATACCAGTATTGAGGTAGATTTGAATCAAGATGGATTCCTCTCTTCCCCTAATGAAAAATTCAGTGCAACAAAGCGTTTCACAATGAAATGGGAACGAATATCACCAATCCCATATCAGAAAGAGATGAAATGATCTAGGCATATAAGGAATAGGTCTTTCTAGCTAAATAATTTTTTATTCGAAGCATGGACCAGTGACAAAGACACCTAGCCATAAAATATGATTTATTTACATATATTGGAACAAGGTTAAGAGCAATTAAAAAGTTTATTAAATCTTGACCATCTCACATGTAATAGGATAGAACAAACAATTGTTAGGTAATTATAGTACTAAACGACGTTATTATATATATGTAGTTAGAACTTCATATGCCCTCATCAACCATAACAGCTATGTCATCTTCTCTTAGTTCTTTTCTAAGTTATATGTTATATAAGATTGACAATGATAACACATATATATAGTTGAATTTCATTCAATTTTATATAAAATTTTATTTGATTATATGTTAATTTTGTCTACTTAATTTGTTAAATCTTCACAATGAGACAAATGACATACATCACACTTGAATCACATTTAATGGACTTGCGATAAAAAGTATAAAAAACAAAAGGTAAAGGTTTGGAAAATATATGTGAAATGTTTTTTCTTTAGGGAAAGTAGAATATGTAGTACGAATATATTCCGTTTCCAATATTGACATGACAAAAGTGATTGGAAGGAAAGCCTTGGCTTATCACAATCCCACATTTGGTGGAGAATGAATTCCAAATTTGGATTGAGTTTCCGAAGAATTTCATTGCAAGTGCATGGTGATAATGGGGGCATATTAATTCATTATTGATTCATTAATTTGACTTGTTTTCCACCTACCATATATTTAGTATTTAATTAATTTGGATAAAGATAATAATTCAATAAAATTTTCTACTATAGAAATGATGACAAGTGTGATAATGGAGTAGTTGTTACAAGATCTATTTTATAATATGTTCTCACTTTATAGCAAATTCTAAGGTAGAAAGTTGATGAAAATCTCAAGCACTTCTCTTTTAAACTAATAAAAAAGCCATATAGTTCGAAAAAAAAAAAAATTAAAAAATTATAATTATAATTTTAAATTTATTAAATATTATTTTTTAAATAACAACATAAATCAATTAAATTAAATTTTAAATGCAATCTTAATCATTTTCCTATCTAACTCTTCTTGTATTAAATAAAAAATATGGATACAATGAAGCTTTTCACTTTTTGTTATTTAAAAATATCAAAAATTAAATTTTAATTATTAAATCTAAAACTCCATTACTGTACTAAACTTTCTAATCTCACTCTTTTACTTTTGGTAATAAAAAAAAAAAAAACAAAAAACTTTTCCACATGAATTTGGGAGGTGAAACCAAACTGTTTGAAACATTGATTCTCAGGCTAGGAAATGTAGATTCCATTTCTTTATGTGCACTGTCACGTTCTTAAGTCAAACAGCACCCTTTGAATAATCTCGGAAAAACAATTACTCCATAATTTATTTTTTTTTTTGGTATACTTTAAAGAGCAGGTATGCTTATGAAATAACCTGGCAATTTCCTCTTTTCCACACTTCTCAATTTTCTATATAAAGGGCAGCAAGTTCATCATTTACGCACCCTTTTTCTTACCTACTCAAACACAAACAAGCTGAGTCCAACTCAAAATTATGGTCCAAGAAAAGAAGCTAGTTGATGAGGTTTCCGGTTGGCTAAGAGTCTACGACGATGGCTCAGTCGATCGGACATGGTCAGGTCCCCCGGAGGTTATGTTCATGACAGATTCGGTGCCACCCCATGAACAATTCACTGAAGGTGTAGCCACTCGTGATGTCACTATTGATTCCAATTCAGGACTCAAAGTTCGAATCTATTTGCCAGAGCAAATTCCCACCACTAATACTAAGTTGCCAATCATCCTTCATTTTCATGGGGGTGGTTTTTGCATCAGCCAACCTGATTGGTACATGTATTATCACTTTTACACTAGGCTGGCAAGGTCAGTTCCAGCCATTTGTGTCTCAGTTTATCTCAGGCTTGCACCAGAGAACAGGCTCCCAGCTGCCTGTGATGATGGCTGCGCTGCTCTCCTCTGGCTAAGGTCGTTGGCTAAAGGTGAATCAAATGAGCCCTGGATCAATGATCATGCAGATTTTAACAGAGTTTTTCTTATTGGGGATAGCTCAGGAGGGAACATAGTGCATGAAGTGGCTGCACGTGGTGGGAACTTGGGTTTGAGCCCATTAAGGCTAGCAGGTGCGATTCCAATCCACCCAGGTTTTGTCCGTGTGGAGCGGAGCAAGTCGGAGTTGGAGCAACCCGAATCACCTTTATTAACTTTAGACATGGTGGACAAGTTTTTGGCCCTGGCATTGCCACTTGGGAGCACCAAGGACCATCCGATTACTTGCCCTATGGGGTCCAGCGCTCCGCCGATTGACGGTCTAAATCTTCCACCATATTTATTATGTGTAGCTGAGAAAGACCTGATCAAGGACACAGAGATGGAATACTATGAAGCCATGAAAAAGAGCAACAAAGATGTGGAATTGTTGATTAGTCATGGAATGGGGCATAGTTTTTACCTAAACAAGATTGCCGTGGACATAGACTCAGACACTGCTGCCCAAACCACTGGCCTTATTGAAGGAATCAAAGAGTTCATCATGAAGCATTGAAAATGTTTTTTTCCTTTGCAATTAATGAAATAAAATGAGTGATCTTATTGATAGCTTGTGCCAAATTTCATGCATGTTTCATCATTTAATTGAGTTGGAACCATTAATTGGAAGTGAGGAGATATTCATTTGGAAAGAAAATGATTTATCTTGAACTACCGCATATTCCATAGTTCTTATTTCCTGTTTGTTTCTTTCGTTTTGAGGAAAAAAATGAGATAAGAGTCGTTGATATGATCAAGCTCAATCATCTCTTGCTTTGCTGCCAAAAGAACAGTAAATCAATGATGCCTATCCAGTAGTGAGAATTTGAAAAAGGTACAATCTAATACACTTCTATTTTGGTACCATTGAAAAAAATAATTAAGAAAAAGTTAAATTATAAAATTCTTGAAAAGTAAACTGCTTTTACTTTTTTTAACGTTAGTCATTCACCACAGAGGGATTTTAAATGCAATATATTTTTTACTCTTTACATTTTTTTTTATTTTTTAAGTAAAATTATTTAATTATATTTTTTACGAATATTTAGATATATGTATCTGAAAAATTTTACAATTTATCAACAATGAAATTTCAGAAAATTTCAAAATTTTTGAAAATCTCTGAAAAAAATACTTATAAAATCTTTAAGTAAAATTACAAAAAAAAAAAAGAATTTTATAAAGGTTTTTAGTAATTTATGTAATAAAAAATTATTATTAAAAAATATAATAAAATTTAAAATTAATAAAAAACTGTCAAGTCTTAACAACTGACAGTTTAAACTCCTTGAAACTATAAAACTAATATTATCGAATATTACACATTTTTATCAAAATTTAATATATTAATTAATAAAATTTATGTGATAAATAGATAAAAAAAATTTTAAGAGTTCAATTTAATTAGAACTATTATAAAATTTTAATAATTTATAAAAAAATATTTATTAAAAAATAATAAAAATTTTAAATTTATAAAAAATTATATTTAATATTTTATTTTTAATTTATTTAGGATCCCATAAAAATTTATTTTTAAAATTAAAATTAAAAATTTTATTTTTTTTATTTTAAAATTTATAGTTATTTTTTCAATAATAACTTTTTTAATTATTTTAATTAATGAATAATTTTAATAAAATTCTTTTTTTATAATTCCATCCCCTCTCACCACTGACAAAGAAGCAACGACAGCACAATTGGGAAAACCCTAAACTTAGTGACATAATTTTTGCGCCAATTTTTTTAATTCTATTTAATTTTAATGTTGTTTGGTCTGTGACGGTGATCGGCGTTCACGGATCGTTGGCAAACGTCAACAAGGTGAAGAAGCAAAGGTGGCCAAGTAAGAGAGGAAGCAGCAGCCTAGAGGTCGCACCTACAACCGCATACAGTACATCCGCCGTTTTGTCACCTCCGCTTAGAGCTTAGCTTATCTCTTTTTCTTCTTTACGTTTTATATTTATATATATTTTACTATTATTTGCGGAAAAACAATATTAATTAAGTAAAGAAAGGTTGTAATGAATAATTTCATTTTCATTTTTTTTAAAATTTGGTTATTAGAATGAAAGAGATTTTAATGTTGATTGTGCTGTTTTCTTGGGCCAACGATTAGTATAGTTCTTGTCTGCCCATGACCCACCCAATGAAAGAGATTTTAATGTTGATTGTGCTGTTTTCTTGGGCCAACGGTTAGTCTAGTTCTTGTCTATCCATGACCCACCCAACTCATTTCCTTTTCCTTGAGTTAGATTGATTGTAATATAATTTTTAGTATTTATTATCTGCTCAACTTATTATCATGAATGTAATTCATTTTAAAGTATCAATAAGTTGTTAGCTTAATTGGTTAAGATTTATTTTTTTCGATGAAGAGATTTTGAGTTTAAATCCTACCGAAAATTATTTATTGAGATCATTTTAAATATACGATCTATAATCACTTATCTTAGATTGTCAAATATAACACATCTTACTTTAACTTGTGAGACTGCATAACTTATTTACCTCAAATTTTTCAAAATAATATATATATATATATTCATCTTAGAGAAGGTGGATAGGGGCCTTGACTTTTTTAATTTGTGCTTAGCTTTTATGATCATCTTAGGCACAATCTTAATTGGCCAATCTATAGGACCTTGAGGTTTTTCAATAGAGTTATTTACATCAGATTGATATGGCATTAGTTTTTTTTCATCTTGAAGCACTTTTAGCTCTATCTATCTTGATCTTTTTTTTTCCCTATGATTCAAATACCCATATAATGGCCAAAATACTCAAACATAAATCTGACATGTATTGACATTGGATCAATGAAGTAAATGATTGTTTTCCTATCAGTTGATTCACATTGTTATTAAATCAATTTTTTTAATTGATAACAATACTTCTTGTTTTTAGAGTAGGTGTAGATGCTTCGTCCCTTATATGTCGTTCAATATTAGAGAAGTTGCGGAGTCTTTATGAAGAGGGAGGTAAAAGAAGAGAGGAAACTGATGCTTATGATTTATAGATTGCATTCAGGGAGGCAAAACAAAAGATTGGCTTGGACCCTTCACTTGTCAATGTCGTAATTGTTCTTGAACTAATTTTCACCAACATCTCTTTATTTTACGAAAATGATTATAAATATTTAATTTTATTTAGACTTATCCTAACCAAATTCGAACTTAAAAAAATTAAGATTTAGGTCTTTTCCAAAAGTTTTGAACTTCATGAATATTTTGAGTTTTTTGAATAAGTTAATTCTAGACTTAACAACAAAAAAAAATGATGAAAGATAAAGTAAAATAATCAACTTAATCAAATTTTGTCAAACTAGTACTTTTGAGACAACAAATTGAGGATGAGAGTTTTGAAATTGTTGAAACCAGGACTTTTGATCAATAAATACAAAAAGGCTTTGAAAAACTTATGATCAAATATTTTGTCCAACCTAGATTCAAAAGGTCAAATTTGGTCAAAATAAAATATTTTAAAAGAATTAAATCGAGAAATCTTTGGATTTGATTAAAACTTAGATTTTAACCAAAATACTTCTTGGTTAAAACCTAGGTCAAATTAGGTTAAACTTGGGTCATTTTGATTAAATCAAGTCAAACTACATTAGTTTAAAGAGCTTAAATAAGAACTTTCAAATTTAGGCAAAAATTACATTTTGATCACAACAACCTTAAGTTGGGCTCGAGTCAAAATTTGTTCAACCCTAGTAATTTTGGTCAAACCATATAGCTTTAAAAGAAAATCCATGAAAAAATTGAAATTTAAGCAAAAAATGCATTTTGAACAAAATGCCCCATAGTCTAATTTTGGTCAAACTTGATCAAATTTAGGTCAACTCATGAAAATTATATTGATTGAGACTATTTAAGGTTTAGAATCAATTAAATTGTGATTTGGGCTTTTAAAAATTAAATTCGACCTTAAATGAATTATAAAAGTCCAAAATTGCCTTTTAGGGAAATTTTTGTACTTTGACCAAAACGAGATCAGATTTTGTAGGTGTAGAAAGAGAAAATTTTTGTCCAATTACAAAGTGCCATATGTCTAATAAAACTTTTTCAATTAATTAATTAAAGAATTTTTAAGTAACAAATCGGTTACTACCATGTGGATTAATGAAATTATTTAATTTAATCATATAATTAATTAATTAATTTTATGATTAATTAAATATGCCACTAGTCAATTGAAGACAAAATACTTAATTTGACAAATCAGATTTCACCAATGAATCATTAGTTTTTAACTCTAATTAAACTATAGTTGTTTAGAGATAAAATCAAAGGAGTTAAGTTCTCTTAAAACACCTTACTTATCTAAAGGGCTAGCATTATAAATACAGTTCGTCTGAAGTAACAATTCACAATTTTGAAGGGAAGAAGAAGATTTTTAAAACCCAAAGCCTTTCCAAAATCTCGAGAAGTAAGATCCGAAAAATTGAAGAAATTTTGAAGAACTTAAAGAACAAAGTATTTGAGTTTCAAGAATTGTCAAGAAATTGCTCTTCGATCTTATTCCCTTTAAAGGAAAGAGATAAATTTTGTTTGTTCAAGATCAAGTTAATAAGACTCTTGAAGCATTCAAAGGCAAGTCTCATTGAAGCATTCAAGAACAAGTTTCTTGATTCTTGAAGTGAATTTTTGCTAAAAAAAAGAATTAGGGGATTTTGTTAATAATAAGAAATTCTAGAGATTGTAATTTCCAAAAGTCTGATAAATAAATTTATTATTTGTTTTTAATTTTTTTGTCATATTTTCGACACGAAATTTATGTGTACAATTTTTTGGTATACTCAGTGGGACAATCTCTGCCTCTCATTTCTTTTCTTCAAAGTTCAAGTTTTTAGACTGTAATGGCTCCCAAAAAGAATTCCACTAACAAGCTAGCTCTCAAGCTTGCTCGAGCAAATCCTACAATCTTTCTTAACTCATTAGCAAGCACTGATGTTACTATTCACCTTTATAACACTAGAAATAAGATGAAAGCTCTTGACGAAATCTATTCTCAATCTCTTCCAGTACTCAACCAAAACCCACTCTATGATACTTTTTTTTTTCAAATCAAGGATTAGAAAAATCTTCTTCTGATAAGCCTACTTCATCTAATGGATCAAATGCAAGTAGTAGTTTGATTTCATCGTCTCTTTCAAAAAAAATTTTAGAGTAATGAATGTTATGACAAGTGGCACTACATCATTGAAAGAAAATGTTGCATTTCTTTCAAAAATAGTGAAAACTCTTGCAACAAGCATTAGAGAAAAAGATAACCAAATTGTTGCCATGATGGAAACGATTGGCAATCTCATTGGAAAGCGACCAGTGAATTCATAACAAAATCATCATTTAATCCTTCAAGAAGATAATGAGAATTCCAACGAGAAAGTAGCCAAGAATTCTCAATGTCATAATGTCTAGATCCGAAAACCTATCGTTAGACATTAACTTGAAAGAGTCGCCATCATTCTTTTTAATCTAGGTGCGATTGGCCACCTAAGGAATCTATCCCTTTTAAGGAACACCTAAGTCTAAGGGTCCCTAAAAGAATAAGTTTAGGTCTACTAACCAGAACAGGATTTGGGAGTACGATTACGTATGAGAAAGGTTATAGCACCTTCACAATGCCTATCGAAAGATGGTACCAACTTACTTTG